AGGCGTCGCCCGGCATGACGCGACGCGGAACAGCTTCCGCGTTTCTGGGAGCCGATTTAAACCCAGCTCCTACCTCGTTCTCCATGGAAGGAACCGGCTACGGGGCGCAGAACCACAGGGTGCCGGCGTAGCTCACCCAAAGCACCTCCCGGGCTGGGGGGAAGAGACGCTGCCACCCTCGTTTCGGGGGGTTTCCGAAGCTCACGGCCCGCGGCGAAGGGCTGGCAAACCCCTGAGCGCTCATTCGCCCGCCGGCGCGCAGCCAGGAAGCGCACAAACCGCAGTTTCCTTCTGTTCCACGCAACAACGGCGACAAAACGAAGCCGTTGGTTACGCATCGACACGGTTTCGGTGGCAACGGGGCCGGGTGCAAGGCGAGGAGGGTCGCCAAAGCCCGCTTGGCAAAACTCCGTGCCATGCCCGGCTCCAGGCCATGGCGTTCCCACCTCCTGAACCACTAAAAAACCTTGGAAACTCCCCAGAATCCTTTGCTGCTACGGCCCGGACTCGCACCCAGCAGCACCTAGGATGGAAATATCCCCGGCCACGGGAGTCTTTGACCCTGGTTTCTCCGTGGGATTCAGAGATTTGTTCTCCAAGGTCCAACAACACTAGTGAGACTTGAAGTGTTTTTAGGGCCTGTATTTTGAGCCCTTAAGTTTCCTGCTCACGTCAGACATCAACTCAGGCATCCAAGCAAAGCTTGGGAATGAGGTTAAGAGCTCCCTGCCCGAGCCAAGGCCTCCCAGGAGGCACCTGAGGAGACGAAGTGTTGAAGCGAGCCCGCAGGCCGGGCTCAGAGGATTCAGGAAAACCAACGGCTCGTTACACAGACGGAGAATCAAATGGAAAAGGAGAAGGTGGCGATTTCTCCAACGGAATCTTCCCGTTGAGTGGAGGTTGGTTGGAGAGGCAGCATGGGAAGACCGGCTGGGCTGGCCACCACACGCAGGTTCTCACCGTGGGATGCGAACAAAGCCCTCCGGCATGCTGCCTGGTTAGGATGTCTGGGAAGAAGGATCCCATTTCTCCATAAAACTCATAAAAGTCTGATTTGTTCCCCGCTCCATCCTCGCCCACGATTTCAAGCCCTGAAGGTCCCTGGGGTGTCCAGTCTGGAGACACATTCTGCAGTAGAACAACCTGAGCTGCAAATAAGCCAGTGGATGGGGATGGGCTCGGCCAAAAATCCCATCCCAGCTCCAGGGGAGCAGGCAGGAGCTGCCCCAAGCTCCTCCTCACACCCTCCGCTTGCTTCCCAAAAGCATTTATGTCTTGACATTGGGACATGAGGCGAGGAAGGCGTCACGTGAGCCAGGTGGCTCCTCGGGGCCTCCTGCTGCCAACGGCTCCGAAATTCAGGAGGAAAGCAGGCATTTCATCTGCTTAACGAGGCATTAAAGACTTGGGTTTATCCTGCCAGGCCGTTCCGGCAGGGAAAGGCATGCCACAGGGCAGAGGAGGTGGCTCAGTGAAGAGCGGATGGGCTTTGGGTGGATGTTTTGGGGAGACACGGCTCACCCGACACACGTTCGCTGTTCTTGAATGAGGAACTGGGGTGGAGCGTGCCCCACCAGCACCCCCAAAACCCCACGAGGGCCAGGGCGCATGGCTCTGCTGAGTTCCAGACACTCCCAGCCACAGCCAGCCCTTCCTCAGAGTCAGGGGCCCAGTTGGAAGAGGCCCTGTTGGCCAAGCCGCCCGCTGCTGCCCCAAATTCACAGGAATAGGACAAATATTCAGGAAAAAGCCTTTGAGATGAGCCTTAGCCTGGAGCTAAGCCCTCCAGCCGAAGCTGGACACGGCCACGAGCTGCTGGGAGAGAAACAGAGACACTGCCCAGGCTGGAGAACCCCTCACCAGCCCGAGTTTGCATCCACATCCGGGTGATTCGTCCCTCTGACGCCGTTTCTGGTGTCCGAGGCCTCCGGCTGCATTAGGACTTGCCAGCAGCTCTTGAGAGACCAGCCACCGCTGCAGTGCAAGACTGGAATCAGTTTGTGTCCGTTGCCTTTTGTCCCGACGCTGGTAAGAGTCCGGATCCTCTCAGATCCCTGGAAGGGCTGGCACTGCTCGCCACAGCAGAACCCGGTTATATCCCGCTGCGTGGAAAGCCCCAGGTGTGGGGCAGGGTGTTAAGCCAGGTCCAATCTCAGGGAAGACAGCCTGACGCACCCTCAAACCCTCAGGATGCTGTTCAGGAATGAAACTCCACGCTCCCCCCTTCCCTGAAAAGCTCTCGAGGTGACGGGATGGGAATAGTTAAATCGAGGGGGTTTGCAATGTCATTAATACCCCAGTAAAGCGCTCGCATCTCTCCGCGCTCCCCCAGCACCTCGCGACAGAGATTTCAAAAAACGCATTTTATTTGGTGCCCCAAATAAGCAGCCCCCAGCCTGCGGTGACAGGACGGGGGGGGCTCGTCTAAGCACAGCCGTTCCCAGTCCCAACAGAGGTGGGATGGGCACCTCCCCCTTGCTTCCGGGAAAAATCGGGGTCCCTTGGATGATCAGCAGCCCCCACATCATTGGGGTTTGCTCACCCAGCCCCCAGCCAGCAGCACATCCCATCCCTGGCTCCCACTTGGCTTTAGAAATCCGAAAAAAGCCATTTCTGGGAAAAGGGAGGGGTTAAACTTCATTGAGATTGTTGTTATTCCAGCTGGAGTGTGGGATAATTTGTTGGGCTGCTTTTACTCACTTGTATCCGTCCAAAAATCAAGGAGGTCTTGGACAGCCCCTTTAGATTCAACCCTTTGAGCTGAACACAAAGGAGTAAGAGCATCCCTTCTCCCCCTCTCCTTGGGATCTGGAAAGAGCTTCCTAATCCACTCAGGGGATTACCTCAAATGGAAATTTGTAAAGCTAATTCGCCCCCGGCACGTCTGCACGGAGATTAAGGGCGACGGAGCTCACAGCCACACAACTGTGGCTGCTGGCCAGCGCTGCGTCCCAAATCCCGTTATCCTGTTCCGAAAGGGGCAGAGGGAAAAGCCAGAGCGCTCTCCCAGGGAGCCGCCGGCAGGCCCAGGCTACGTTTCCGAGCGGATGGGAAAGGCAACCTCGAAGGCAGCGAGGGTGCGACGGCTGAGCGCGGCGGAGGAAGCGTCGGCACAAAGGGAGCGCGTGATGCGGCAGCGGGGGGGACAATGAAACGTGGGACAGCTTACTGCCGGCGCAGGAAGCGAGGAACAGGGCCACGGCGGCGTGTGTGGAAGGACACGAAGTCATGGGAGGCGCCTGCAACGATAAAACGTGAAACCGAGCAAGAAAAAAAAAACCCACACATTCAGCACGTTTAGAGAAGTTTTGGCTGTTCAGAAACGAATTCCAACCAGGCTCCAGCGATACCACGAGCACATGGGCTCTGTGGGCTTGGGCTTGGCTTAAACCTGGGCTAGGCCCCGCAGCACCGGCCTCCAGCTCCATGAGCAGAGGGGAGGAGACCTGGGAATCATGGAATGGTTTGGGTTGGGAGGGACCTTAAAGATCATCCAGTTCAAACCCCCCTGCCACGGGCAGGGACACCTTCCATAGCCCAGGTTGCTCCAAGCCTCATCCGGCCTGGCCTTGGACACTCCCAGGGATGGGGCATCCACAGATAGGCATCCACCTATCCCAGTGCTTCACCACCCTCTCCGGGAAGAATTTCTTCCTGATATCTAATCCAAACCTTTCCACTTTCAGTTTAAACCCGTTACGCCTTGTCCTGTCACTACAGGCCCTTGGAAAAAGTCCCCCCCAGCTTCCTTGTAGCCCACTTCCAAAACGACTCTCAGCTCCGTGTCTGCACGTTTCGGAGCGCCTCGCCAGCCAAGCCAGGCTCCAGCCTCCCCGACAGGATTTTCCTCTAAGGCAAGAGGAAAGGAATTTTCCCCTGCTATTTTTAGCAGAGCTTTGTTCCTCCTCCCAAAGAGATTCCGACAGCTCCGGCCCTCCACCCACGGCTTTCATCTCCGGGTGCACAGCCGAGAGACATCTGGAACAAGAGGCCGGAGGCAGAGATGTGTGGGAAGTTTGCTTTGACTCAGCTTAAGAGTTTGGAGTGGATCCTCCGAGCCAGCGGATCCCTCGCAAGAGGGAGGGGAAGGCATCGATAGAGCGCCCGACTGCATCCTGCTCCTCCATGAGCAGTACTCCCTAGGTGAGTCTTCGGCCCAGGTTGATCCGTACCGCAGCGGGAGCAGCTCAGGATCTCATGGAATAACAGCTCCGGGGCTCCATTTAACCTCTTGCTGCCTCTCTTCCACATTTCGGGAACACGCATCTGCAGGGCTGGACAGAACTTAAGCCCAGCTTAAGCGCTAAGCTAAATTGAAGTGCTGCAGACAAGAGAAAAGCAGCCAACACCTTCCTGTTCAGGTGATCCAGGTCCAACACACCCTCTGGGCCTCTCCCCCTTCAACATACGTTGATACTGGGGGATGTCAGTGGTGGGAAACAGCGTTCCGACCCGAACAGCCGGCCAGAGGAGGGTCTCCACGGGCACGGTGTCGGTACCAGCTGAAAGCCCTCACTGCGGTTTGCAGGGAGATCGGCTCACGTGCAGCCTTATTGCACACTTCGGGGGGAAGAGGTGTTGCTTTTCCAGGGTTTCCTGCCAAAATTCAGGGATCAATAAGGTGCCGGAGAGCAGAACCCAAGTGGAGTTTGAACGCGAGAGCTGCCTGGCCACGGGCAAATCCATCCACTTCAGCTCCAGAACCCTGTTTTCCATTTCTGGCTAGAAAATTTCATGGAATCCCAGGATGGTTTGGGTGGGAAGGGACCTTAAAGCCCACCCAGTCCCATCCCCTGCCATGGGCAGGGTCACCTTCCATAGCCCAGGTTGCTCCAAGCCTCATCCGGCCTGGAACACGTGCGGAAAGGTGCTCTGGGAGACAGAGAGAAGCTCAGGAAGAGGCTGGTGACCAAGTCTGCAGACACACACCGGTCAGACAAGACTAAGCAAAGAATTTGAAGGAATTTATGGAAAATAAAGTCTTCCCAATGGTATCAAAGGCAGTAAAAGAAGATAAAGTAGAGCGGAATTGTATGCAAGTCAAACTAGATTTGCAGAGACATTTCAAGAAGTCTCTCATCTCTC